GATCTGTGAAAGAGGTTGATCTGTGAAAGAGGTTGATCTGTGAAAGAGGTTGATCTGTGAAAGAGGTTGATCTGTGAAAGACGTTGATCTGTGAAAGAGGGGGTAAAAACAAGTTTTCTTTCGGCTTACCGCTGTTTTTTGATTAACCGTGTTTGGTTTAAGCAGACACCACCGCAAGTTATGGTTTTGTCTCATGCTCATTTTTATCATTGTGACTGCATGGAGGTAATGGATGGTTGGATTATTGCTTTTTCCTACCGTAAATGATGGCTGTTGTGTCAATCCCTTTACTAACTTTACAAGGTAGTCACTCATACTTTCTCTTTTAGGAAAAATAGCTGCAACATGCCATCTGCTTTTGTTTTTGTTTTCTTTTTGAGTGGGTTGTTTTATTACATGTAACAGATTTTTCACTCTTTAGTCTACTCTAGGGGCTTTGCAAATAATGAAAGAATATGTCAGTACACGAAATGCTTTGGCAACTTCTTTATTGAAGCTTGCCTAATTAGCTGTTTTGGGGTTGTTTGTTTTGTTTTTTTTACTTTTCCCTTTAAAAAGCAACAAAATGCAACATTGTGCTTATATTGTATGATTTTCATTGACAGTAAAAGCATTTTGTGCCCACAAGTATAGAAGACGGAGCATGGTGCATGTTTTCCTTGTTTGCATCACTTGACATCATTGGGGCTGTTGAATTGTCTTTACTTATTTACTACTGCTCACCTTTTAATAAAGTAAAGAGAACATGCTTGCCAATTTTTCTGCTTTTTTGTTTTCAAAATGTAGATTATTTATACATGTATTGGCTTCTGTAGCCTAGTGGTTAGGCTACTGGACTCGTAATCTTGAAATTATAGGTTCAGGGATTTGAGTCTGTCTCAGCCTGGTCCAACGTTGTGTCCTTGGGAAAGGCACTTTGCATGCATTTCCCCGTTTGACTCTGTCCTTTCAGTTTCAGAGATGGATGTTAAACTCAGAGATTTCGCCTCTTAACCCTTTCCGTACGCCTTGGGGTCATTTTGTACCCCCGGGGTTGTATTCTTCACATTTTAGAATACTAATTCTAGTACAAAGTACAAAGATCTCTTTGAAACTTTGAGTATTTCTCAAAAAATCATTTTTGACAGACTGCTATGCAAAGCGTACTGATCGGATTAACAAGTATTTCCTCTTTGGAAAGTGGTGGCACAGAGTTACCTATACCTATGTCGTGTGGATTTGATAATAAAACATGACGTACGGATAGGGTTAAATAACCTAATGGTGTTGATACTGATAGGTTAAACCTATACCATTTCACCATTCATTTATATTGATATTGCAGGAACTTTAAATAATGCCTCCTATTGGTCCCAAAGAAGTAGTTGTATTTCACAATTTTGAAAACATGGCAAGAGATTACCTCTGTCTGTGGTTGTACAGATGAATGAATAATGACAGTTTTAATTTAACTTTATGTTCATTTAGCTTTGAAAGTACCGTAGTAAGGACATGTTTTCAATAAGCATTTGAGTGAGCATTCCTTTTGAAAAATTGAGGATGTGCTTCAATTTGCTGGTCAAATACGATGTACAAGAACATTGTAGTGTTGTAATGAGAGCAAATCAAGTAAATTTTGAATGTGAAAAGCACTATAATTACAATACTATTGTATATTCACTATTTCTTCTCAGTCTCAGTAGGAATAATGAAACATAATGCCTTTCTCATGCAGTACTTGTATACTCAGACCTCTTCATGCTACCATCCATTCTAATTAAATGTAATTGCACCAGCTGCCTCCACTTCAGTTGTGCTAGGGTTCTTATCACCTACTTTGGAAGTAAATTTGACAACTAGTGTGAGTTTGTCTGTCGCAATATTTTAAAAAAGCTTAGGTCAGTTTGACCCTGCTTACAGGGTGAGCAAAACAAATAGGGGCTATAATTTATATGTATTTAATTGTTTACTTGCTCAGCATCACTCAAAATCAAATCACTGTGCTTATTTCTTTCTGCCAATTAAGTGTACACGTAAGTGGTTATGAACTTTTGTCTCGACTTTTTCCACTTCAGTTGTACATATATGTTTAATCAAACTGCAGCACCGAGTCTTGACTGACTCTTCAATATGATATAAGCTTACCCTTATGCCTTATGATCTTTGCCATCAAATTAAAGACTCAGACTCCAAATGTCAGTGAGGTCCAAATTTAGTTTTTATGTCCATCATGTGCAATTATCAATTTTTAACCCCAAGCTCTATCAAAGATGCACCTTTCAACATCACCAAAATTAAGTTTTATGCTATGGTCAAAGCTATTTTCTTGCTTTTCCTAATTCCTGATAGGAACAACACCACAAAAAAAAACTAGTTGAGGTTTTTCTTTTGTCTCTGGTGTAAAAAGTACCAAACAGACTTACGTAGATTGCTTGTTTTAGTTTAGTACTAGTACGGTAGAGGTTTTACAGCGCTCCCAACTGCTTAAGGTCATATGAGCGCCAGAAGATTAGAAGTGTTACAAGAGAGAAACAAACATAAAAAACAAGAAGGCGGAGATAAGGATAATAGATGTTTGATAGGAAAGAAAAAGCAAACCACACCAGACGTGGATTGCTTGTGACACCGACGATAAGAACATACAGCACAACACATCCCCAGAAGCAAGACAACAGTAATCAAAACTTGTCAGACACCAAAAAGTATTTGCTTATGCTGACAACTTTATTCACATTGAAAAATGAAGCTTCATCTTACTAATTTACATCTCTATCATTCAAAAACAGAGTATGCATGCAAATTTCTGGAGTCATTTCAAAGAGATCTTTATTTCCTAAAATTTAACATTTTCTGTGCGGTATTCCATTCACATCATTTCACACAGACAATTTTATGTAGGTAGGTGTTTTTACGCCCCTATTGACACAATTTAGTTCATCTCGTAGGCAGACTTCTGACCCTGTCTGTCAGGGCCAATCCAGGCTGAGTGGGAGACAAGATCCCAGCAGAAAGACCAAGACACTCGCTTAAAATTTCTCCCCACTTGGGAATCGAACTCGGGTCTCCTGTGTGCTACAGTGAAGTGCCTAATCGCAACCATCACAAATGCCAGAGTCACACAGACAAATATGACCCAAAAAAATAAGTGGGCTTTTGGGTTTAAAAAAAAACAAACAATCATTCATAACTGGTATTTATAGATCAACCTTATCAATAATCATGGAGTTGGAAACTCAACAAAGAGTAGTACATTTGTATACACAAAGCTGCCAGGAATGAGAACCTCAAATATCATAAGCCGTCCTTATCCTAGATATAACGAGAAAATGTCACATTTTCATCCCCATTCCCCCTAAACAGGATTTAATCATCCATATTTATCTTTTCACAAACAAAATGAGTAGAACAGCTAATCCACAGAAAAAAAATGTATCACATTCATAGGACAAAATTTTTGTTCCACACAAACTTGGTTAGCCTGACAAAATTCATATAACAAGGTTTTAGTAATTCAAGACCAAGACACTAAAGTCCTGTACACGTATAATTATATCTTTACATCCTTTTGATAATTTGTAAGAAATGAAAAAGAATTTAAGCCCTTTCATTTTACATGGAACTCTTTCAGACCCAACGCGATCATCAAAGTGTCATATATGGCGGGCAGTTTGTCACTGTCACTCTAGGGGTCAAACATAATATAAGTGGTAATGGACAGATAATACAAGGAACAAATACGTAGATATTTGATAGTATGGAAAAACAGGGTAGCCATCTCTCTAAACCTGTGAATTCTTGAGAACATATTGTTATAAATTAAATGTGCAAGTTCAGAGAATTTTTGTGACGGATATTACTATTAGTTAAGTTTTGAAATATTTTACTTTCATCTGAAACATCAGGAAATTATGCAGCATTAATGGAAATAAAATAAAAATAAGTACAAGCAATACAGAATTCACTCTTTACCATAAAAGAAACTGGATTTTTTTTTTTTTAACAAAAAACCTGAGTAATAGATGTAGTTTTCTTTTCCTAAAGTAGCTGTCTTTCCCCAAAAGTAAGCACCATGGAAAAACACCTGTTGAATCGTAGACCATAGCTAGTCAGCACAATTACATGGCGAGTGTGGTGAAGAGGACAAGATGTAACACTGATGAAAAGTTAAGTAGCAGAGCACCAACCAGTAACAAACCAAGAATTAAAAAAAGTACTGAGCTGATAGCCTGCTACTACACCATGTTGCCATACAAACTAATATAGTCCACGTGAAGCAACACAGCAACTTTTCTTCAATCGCTTCATAATGACTTGCTCTCACTTTATTTATTACTGTCCACCTGCAAACATGAACACACCACTTTAAATAATATTCAACAATCAAAATCAGTTGGCAAAGAAGTCAAAACAAATTTTTTAATTTATGTATTTCCCATAGGAAAAAATTAATGAACATTTGTTTTTTTAAAGGACTAAACAAATTGAAGGCTCTAATAAATTTTAATGATTTTGTGGAGAGAAAAAAAACCCCATATCTATACCTTACAGTTATACTCACAAGCCTATATTTATACCTTCAAAGTGCTACAGTAACAGAGTAAGTCAGACTTAAAAGTAAAAGCCAAAATCAAACTGACCTACCATACCATTATCACCAAATAAAAAAATGATGTACACATGCCGACAAATATCCAAGTCATTAAAAAGAAATCCATCCACAATCCATTATAGAAAAAAAATATTTAATGCAAGGGGTAAATGATAAAAATAACCATTCTTGCATATATATGCACTCATACAGTTTTACAGCCACAACTTGCCTCCTTCACAAAAGATTCTCTGCCCTATAATTGTTCTCTTTATTCATTACTCACCCTATTCATTGACTACCGGGTATTACATAATTTGTGAAGAAAATATATAACAAGCATCCCTCCTCCCCCAGTAATTTCTAAACATGGATGAGCCTTATGTTGTTCCAACACATCAATCACAGTATTTTCATAGGATGTCAAATTTTATCATATAAACAAGTAACAAAAAGAATGAAAAAAAATGAACATAATTTGGGCTCAGATGAATAACTCAGTCTTGAATCATAAAGCCTCTACAAAAATAAACATACTATTACATTCCAGACTATTAGGAGACCAGGAGATTATTTAGAAAACATTGAAATCACTCTCTTTTCACTTAATTCCTTTCTAAATACATAGACTCCTATTCATATTGTCATCCTTGAAAAAAAAAAATGCAAATTCCGACAAAGAATCAAAGATGCAGTATGACATGAAAAATGAAGAAAATCATGAAAATTCCTTTACACTATTTACAGAAAAATATGCTATGTACATCAATGAAAAACTACCGGTAAGCTCTTTAAGACAATATCACTAGAGTCATTTAATGAGAACAGAACAATAATGGCATTGAGAAGTGGCAAGGAGTGTGAGATTACAACAACTAACATACATATCATTCTTTGTTTGACTAAAACCACACTTTAATTTGTTCACAGTGGAGCCTGGAACTGACCACTATTCCTGATGTACTTGATTTTAACAAGGGGCATAACCTTTAAATATTGCTGCAAATTCAAAAAACATGTCAATTAAGCACTGAAAAGTTCAAAGCTCATTTCAGTATAGGCTGGCCAGCAAGTTCAAACAACAGAGCAGCCAAGCCCTCCATTCTGCCCCTGCTAGATTACTGATATAGAAAAGATACCCAGAGCTGAATTGGGACTTTCATCAGGAGTTGTTTTTTCTGAATGTGCTCTTATATTACACTTATACGATTCTTCTGAACAAAGAGAATAGCATCTAAACAACAAGTTAGTCATCCTCCATTCCCCAGGCCCACCAATCAACCAAAATCAGAAACAGGAAGTAACTCTCCACCAACCTATCAAACTCAAACCAGACAGCTTGACCTGAAAGAGTTCTGGCAATCTGAGTTCAACTGCATATGTGCATAAATGAGGGATGACGTAAAAGGAGTGGGTCTGAATCAGGACTACAAATGGGAAAGACAGAACCAAAGAATTCAAGAGAAGGACATCAGCTTATTGATAGGCAGAGCACAGCCAAAGCAAAACAAACAAAATAGCAGTGAAAGAAAAAAAATGACTTACCAGATACAACCCCCCCCCCCCATAACATCCTCATTCCCCAATCTCCCAAAAGAAGTCATACATGATTTTTTATTTTAAAACACACAAAGCGCATATTATGAGCAACACTAAAAACTATCACCCATGTACAAAGGCACCAAATCTGATTTAAATGAATGGTCCAAACTGATAAAATATGACAAGAAACCTGTCAAGTTCAAAAGCTTTGTTTGTTCGGTAAAATAACATGGAAAGGAACAAAGCTTTTTTTAAACTGTCAAGTCAATTCAGAATATTACATCCAGCTGATTTTGAAGAGGTATAATGACTCTTCATCGTCCTCCCTTCAGTCAAGCTTTCAGAAGTACAAGACACCGTTCACACTAATCATACAAAAGTTGAAGCTATACTACTCATACAAAAATTAAAGTTGGTAACCAAGAAGATTTTATCTCATTCTAAAAATAAGAAATAGAGCCCAGCAGTTTGTACAGATGGCATACTGTTATACATCAGCGCGAATAATACACAACTTTTAACCTAAAAATCAGGGCTTCAAAGCACAATGCGCCTTAATCATGAAACAAATAGACAATCAAAAAACACAGCAGAGGCAGACTAAGGGAACAAACTTCACGAGTAAGGGAACGAGTAAATTATGACTTGTTGTATGACAGGGATGATGCTGTAGAAATTAGTGATGATGAGATCCGAGACCTTTTCAATTTAAAATGAAATGACAATGTGGAGCATTGATAATTTTAAGTTTTTCAACAAAAATGTTTAAGTTTAAGCGTTACTCACAAAGAAATCTTTGCCATGAAAAATTTGGCGCATCTTTATCCAATGCAATGATCTATACCAACTATACCAAAAATTTGGCTCCCTTGTCTACCTGTGTCTCATGTGTGCGTGCATCCTATAGACGATGATACACAGATTGTGAAAACAGTTTGAAAAACAGGAGCAGTGAGACTGCAAGCCAGAAAGATTTCCATACAAAACGTAAACATGATGTGAACAGCATAAAGAAATTGAAAATCACTAAAAAAGAATGGTGTTCACGAAACCTTTACAACTAGATTTTTTTAAACCTCTCACAAACTGTCTTGAATAGATGTTCCTAAAGCAACAACAATCACTTCAGAGAATGTGACTTTTTACATTTCACTGTCAGGAGAACATAAAAACTGATTGACACATCGACAAAATTCCCATTCTAAAAGAATAATGAAGCATCTCCTGTATCCAGCTCTTTAGGCAATTAATGTGTTCAAAATTGAATTTTTAAAAAGACCAACAAAAAAACAGGCAAAATAAATTAAATTGCAACTCGACCTGTCTGATCTCATCTGTAACAGTACAGCAGCTGTGACTTCCATTCTGTACCTGCTAACAAAACCTCAACATCTCCATGGAGGCAGAGATCAATCAGTGCTCCAACTATAGAGCTCACTGACTTGAGTATAATAAGTAGTAAAATAAAAATTGTCTGGGTTTAGCACAACCCCTCTTTCGGCACTGTAAGAGACCTCCTAATTCAACATCCGTCACCGGTAGGACCAAGGGAAGAAGACGGAGCACCTAGAAATCTCCCATAACGATCCAGTTTCAACAATACCCCTTAGATTGTTCAAAACCAGAGTCATCTGTGCCATTGGCCTGTATAATACCAATTCAGTAAGAAAAAACCACCTAGGTATAAATGTTGCTAGAGTACTAATATTGGCAGATTACTTCGCAGATGAGCCTTTGCAAATTTTTATTCTATTTAATTAAGTGTACTGCCACAAAACATTCTAGTTCCAGGTCAGCAGGGATTCAAGGCATTAAAGAAACATCGAAGCATAAGAGCCACTTGAAAAATATCCACAGTTCAGTCAGTACCAAAAGTAGTCACAAAAACAAAATCAAAGTTCAAAAAAATAAAACATCACACTGATGGATGGAAATACAGTCAAATTAATTCATTTTCTCTCTGACATCTGACATCCGTTTATGACAATAATTTGGTGAATATTTACCACATAAATTAACATACCAGCTGTGCAGAAAGCCACCTGATTGCTAACACCTACATAATTGTTGCTATCGTCAGTTATGTCAATAGGTCATGTATACTATATAGTCTCCAGAATGAACAAAACGGAATATTTACAGCCTTTTCAGGTTTTTACTTCACTCATCTGAGAGAATACAGATGCATACCAATATGATCATTTTAGTACCTTTAATTTCATCTAAGAAGCCATTTCAATACTGAATACCTGTCATTAAAAAGAGGGAACATGGGACGACCAAAACAGCAAAATTGCTTGAGCTTAAGATCAGCACATCAACAAATTAACAATAATCTGGAGCTGGGAAAAGCAAAGCAACAGACGGTCATAGTAGATGGACAAGAAACATACAGGACCTATCCCTAACCACCAACCAGAAGAAATATTTTGTCCAGTAGAACTGTACAACAATTTCAGCACAACAATGACCATCATCCACATACTACAGGGAACTGGTTGCCATGCATAGAAATAGCATGGAAAAATAAAATAAGAAGATCAAACTAGAGCATCCACCAACCACCCATCAAAAACAAAACGCAGAAAAGGGTGACAATAACACTAACGACTGCATAGGGTTGACAAAGGGTAAGAGATAGGTATAAAAGGCTTGGAGGTTATTTGTACCAATCATGGTCATTAAAAAGATGTCGCACCTTAGATCATCTCTGTGGGCATGCTCTGTAATGTAAAGAAAGACTATGTGACAACCGAGATTAAGGGCCGTAAAAAAAAAAAATTTTACCATACAGTCATTTTAAAGTTGTAAAATTGCCCTTCATGTTATCACTTTTTTGTGTCCTCATCAATGCATTTAACAATTTGTAAAAACCTATTCGCCGACCTACGGTGTCTGGAAGAGCAAAATAGCTCTATAAATCAGTTGCAAGCCTCTGTCAACAGCTAGATCACTTGCAGTAGGACAGAACGGAATGAAGTCCTTCCTGAAGCAACAATCGAACAACCAAAATCTAAGAATACCTAAGAAAAAGAAAAAAAAAAACCCAGCTGACAGTATGGCAATCCTTTTATCATAACAATTGAGATACCAAGCTTTAAAACAAATAAGTTTCTTTTATGGTGCAGCAGGTCATTTAACCTGTTCATATTTTAGACGGAGAGAAAAAAATCAGACCATTATTGCCAGGAAAATAGAACAATTACAACACAAAGGAACAGGGAGGCCAATGTAGGCTATATAGTTGGGAAAAACTATACGGAAGTGTGAGAAGAGAAATCCAGAATTCACTAGCCCCAATGATTTCTAGCAAATTTATGGAATGTTTATGTTTGTCCTTGTTGTTAATAGTACAGAAAGCTTTGCATAGAAACTGGATGATAAAAGAACAAGCTGGTGCAATGAATGTTCTAAAGTTGACAAACCAAAAGTGCGATAAGGAAAATGCAAACTCCATCTTAATACTGGCTCATAATTTCGATATTCTAAAGTATTAGTAAAAGATTGCATTTAAATAGCACACATTCCTGCATGAAAAAATATACCATGCATTCTATTATTTATGTACCTCTTCATATTCACTCTTATGGAAATTGGGGAGGAAAAAAACTTGAAATACAGCGAACCTAGCGTCCAACAAATTGATTTAACTTCACAAGAGTCCAAGATTTCAGAGAAAGCAAAGTTCGACTAACTTGAGCATTTAACATCAATGATTCTACACAAAAATTTGTCTTTGTTCATCAGATAGCAATCTTCTGTTCACAGCAGATACTGTTCTTGTTCTCTGGCCCCCTTGCCACTTCCCCAAACAAACATCGGTTCAATTTTTAAAAGAATCATCTTTTCCTCAATCCTACTGTGAATATATTGAACTAGCCCTAACTTAGAAATAGAGGACCAGATAGACTGTATGAAAGTAAAAGGCTGGCATTCATTCAACAGGCACAGGTTTCTATTCAGAGGTTTCTCTAGAACAATTTATTGGTAGCTCCTGACCTCGGCCAGTCATCTAAAACAATTGTACAACTGTTGTGCCAAAATAAATCAGAGAGGGAGGGGTCACATGAGCATTGCCCCTCCACTCCCTACCCCCTTCAGACTTTCATCAGCCCTCTCTCTGTTGTTATATGACTTGGCATGGTCTAGGTTACCTATATGAGTGGACCTACATTTTGAGCTCAATGTGCAAAGTCGAAAAGTGCTTTGGAGAAAACGGTGCACACAGATGGATGTGCTTGTGGAACAATCTAGCACATGTATTGAGAGTAAAAGCATTCTTATTTTCCATTCTCTTCATTCTACATAATTCAAGGAAAAGATTCCCCGCGGGTGGCATCCTCCTTCCATAATGTACACCAATAGGGTCAGTCTAGATGGCCAGATATTTACATGTAGCTCTCCACCTATGAGCAATATTTTCATCACTAGCAGTTTTTTATGCTGGGCAAACTTACAAGCCTCACTCTCTACTCTGCCATGTAAGTGACTCGCGTCTTTGAATCTATGCCCACAATCACCCAGCCTGATCTGGCAGTGAGTGTGTTTCAAATGCCTCCAGTGGCAACTGATAAAGAATCTGATGTGCTCACTAAAAAAAAATTAAAATGACCAAGCATCTCTCATAGATCACCGTTAGGTATGAAATGCAATGCAATGAGCTATGAGTAGGCGAATTGTCTGGAGGTTAGACTTGAGTAGTTTGTTTGTAACATTAAAAAAGCATGTTATGTATCAGATACGGTTACTTATACTTGTAGGGCAATCTAATTCTTTGGGTCCAAAGTTGCCCATTCAAGGGATACAGGATACTTTATTCATTTTAGTAGACGCGGGAAAACTTTAAAATTTCTTTTCGCCTTTTCAGAGTCTTAAGCTTCCTCTTGAGCTTGATGGACATTTAATTAAGGTTTACGGTGTTAGTACAATATACATGATCAACGCTATAGGGTGTTTACTCAAGGTGGGTAACAGCATAGTCTTCACTTTTGCATATCTTTTTTTTAAAAAAACAATCTCAAACACTTGCACAAGAATCAATTGTTTTCACCAAATGCAACATAGGTATTGCTTCTGCCTTAACATTCCGAACATACATTTCCCTCTTTACATTTAAAAAGTCAAAAACATGGTTGCCTTAAACTGTACAATTCTGTTCACTTTTGACATTTCCAGGATATTTAGTCTTACACAAAATATTTCAGTCTCATAAGTATTCAGTAAAATCTGAAAGATGTAAATTGTATTAAAGGACTTAGATGTACTAAAACAGAAGCAGTGATCACCACATCAAGAAGTACTCTGGTGATATTATCACAAAAACAAAACAAAATCCATGAAACAGAATTCGGAAATATATATTTTCTAGGTAATTGTTTTAACTGGTATTTTTTAAACCTCACAGTAACTCATGCACGTCCAAGAACACCACAACTTGATATGGATGACGATGAATCAGCAATATCCAGAGCTTCCCAATGAAATGTGATATCCCTAATTTTAAATGATAAACGAACCTCAGCTATTGGTAGCTTTTGTTTTTTTCTTTTTTGTTGGAGGTGACGTCACAACAGTTTCTTCCTCATAACTCTCGTAGTCTTCATCCCCATGGTGGTCATTCAGGAAACTGGAGGATCCATGACCTGATTTGCCACCCTGAGACTTTTGCAGAGCTTTAACTGAAAATGTATTTAGAGGAAAGAACATTAGTTTGTTTGAGTGTCGTTTAAACATAGAAGCCAGACCTGCCACTCTATGAAATCGACAAATCAGGACCTCAGAGAGAAATAATCAGGATCTGGTGAAAAAAATCAGGATCACTGGCAAATCAGTCATCATTAGGGGCATTGTGTGTGTGTATATGTGTGTGTGTGTGTGTGTGTGTGTGTGTATGTGTGTGTTGTCCCCCGGTTCCCTTTAGCGAGGCATTTCTGTCTGCACCTATTCATTTCTATTTTCCATTCACAGCATAGGTCTATACGTCGTGTATTAGGAAAAAAAACTGGTGGGCGGCGACGGGCAAGATAATCAAATGTCAAAACCATGCCTGAGTTCAGCATTCATAGACACAAAACATATTGCAGGAATAACTTTATATTTGGGTCTCAAAGAAGGAGAAAAACTCAAAGAGAACGCATACTCATCAAGTCAGAGTTGGAAAGACTGGGGAAGCACAGGTTGCAGTGATGCTGAAGTTCTCGGTGTCCTGAAGATAAGTAAGTTATCACTGACACAATAATCTACTTGATTTCATACTATACATAACAAGGTACGACTCCAATCGCGTATACACTCAAGGCATTCCCCATCGAACCATCTTGCACATATCTCAACTCCATCAAAATCTAAAATTAGGTTCCAAGTTTGTTTGTTTCTTAATTAATTGTGTTCCTTCGTCCTGAATAAGTACATAATATATCACGTCAAGCACTTCAAATTCAAGAGTCTAATTGTACAAGTTGACAATCAATGGAAATAGATCAATAATAAAACCTACAAATTCTAAATTTTCATTTTTTCAACCATCATCATCATTGCCTTTCTCACCCTGCACCAGGGTAAAGGCCATGGACAAACATCTTCCACTTTTCTCTATCCTGGGCTAGCCTCTTGATGTTATTCCATGTCTTCCCACTTTTCTGTAAATCCATTTCCGTGATTCTTCTCCAGGTCCCACTCGGTCTTCCCCTTGATCTCTTACCCTGTGGGTTCCAATCCAAAACTTTCTTTGTTATGCAGCTGCCTGACTTCCTGAGAGTATGTCCAATCCATCTCCACTGCCTTCTTCCTACCTTATCTCTGACTGGGATCTGTCTTGTTTTCCTTAACACTTCCACATTGGTGACCCTGTCTGTCCATCTGATCCTCAGTAACTTTCTTAGACACCTGTTCAAGAAAACCTGGATCCTCTTTATGCAAGTCTGTGAGGCGTTCCATGTCTGACATCCATACAACAAGACCTACATCACATCTGAATTTAAAATCCTCAACTTTGTTCGAAGTGAGATATCTCTGGTCTTCCAAATTCTATCCAAAGATATGAAAGCAGCCTGTGCTTTTCCAATGCGAGACTTTATGTCAGCACCAGTTCCTCCCTCTCTGTCAATTCTACTCCCAAGATAGCAGAAGGATTCAACATTTTCTAGTGCCTTTCATTCTATTGTGACCTGCTCCTTTCGCTGTGCATCTGTCCTTAGGACCTTTGACTTTCCAGGGAAGATCCTCAATCGAACAGACTCCATTTTTTCAACCAACCCAAAGTAAAAAATGGCAACACCGTAATGAGAACCCATTGTCTCACAGTACATTCTTTTAAGTTTCTTCTGCCAAAAAAAAAAAGAAACATTTATGAGACAGACAGGAACACCAAGGACTTTTATCACAGAAAGAAGCAACAAAACAGCTGTGGAACACAATCTGCAACTTCAAGAGCAATAAAAGCAACAGTAACAGTCAAAGACGCTATCAATCAAAAGTTCAATTTGGAGTGGCAAAGAGACATTTCAAACTTTATTCCCGAAATGCATGATTGGACTTTCAATTTGTCACTCCATAATAATTTCCCACCTGTTAAGTTGTAGTCACTCAACTTATCCCCCACCCCAAATGAAAAGGGTAACTTTGAAAGGAAAGCAAATGTAATAAAAACTCCTAAAGGACTCACTCTGTGCGTGTAACTCATCATTCTGCTGCTTCAAAATCTGAATGTGCTTGTCACTTTGTGTAGTCTTGTCTCTCATACGGATGATGTACTCTGCTGCTTGCCGTAAAATCTGGGCCCTAGATGTCTGGAGCAAAAAAGAAAACATAAAAGTTTTTTTAGATTTCTTCAGTTAATCATTATTGTGCATCGCATTCAGATTTTCAACTAATCAACTACCTAGCCCTTGACCGACAATTACACCTCTTCTAAGCATCTAATGATACAGGAGGAAGGGTAAAGTAAAGTAAAGTAAATTATTGTGCTTCAAGAATTTTAGCACCTTCACGTTCTGAGAATCATTCTTAAAAACTCAGTGAGGTACCTTTTCGCTTCCTATTGGCAAAAGATGACACTTATGTGCATAACAGACATAAGGAAGAGGAAGTAAAGGCACAACATGAAGAAAAAAAAAAAATTCACATTTTTTAAAGTAAGTCTCAAAGTAATCACATTACATTTCACTTTTTATACGTAGACATAAGACTGATTTACATACAAAATCAAGCATTTCTCTTGACCTCAAAAGATATGCTATAAAACCAGTAAAATGCCAATTAAAAGATTTACAGTAAAAGATGCCAATAGCCACTTATCGCAAATCTTTGATTTCCATGACATACTTATACTATACCACATGATATAAACACATATTTTTTTCATTTAATTAAAAAATTCAGCTTTTCCATTCTCTGCACCCAATTTCCATTAAAATATTAAATAAATAGCTATTGCTTTATAACATATGTAATGATTATATGAAGTAGGCAGACATGATATATATTGTACACAATGTGTCCTCACCTTGCTGGAAGAATTCGTCTGAAAAAATAGAAAAGGTACAAGTTCAGAATTTTTTGCTTAATTATTGACAATATAATATTTTCCTTGGAGAAGAAAACTGTGAACAAAGTAATGATAGACAATAATATGACAATACAACACAATATGACAATATATATATATATATAAGCTTCTCAAGAATTTACTACGATATGCTTTTCTTCCTAACAGATTTATCACATAGTCTTACATTTTTCAACTCATACTGTGACATAAAGCATGTGCTCATCCCTTACACACTTAGATCTATAACACTATAATTTCATCTAATATAAGTATATTCCGAAAGGTTCAATGCTAATTTTACACCTAACCATAGGTAATCAATGAAAGATCGGAACAGGCTCACATAATTCTGCTCAACTCAAAATGACATCTGAAAACAAGACATGGTAGAATCTTCAGTGCTGACCATCAGTCTTGAGGGGTGGGAGGTTTTTTTTATAATTGGTGTAGGGCCTGCTCTTCTTTGCCCCTTCCAGTAGAAATTACATAAAAATAATATTGCAAAACAATGGAATTTGACTGATATTGATGTTTACACCTATCAAAATGCACATGCATCATTATACAAAGCCCTTTCAAAGCATGTAGAAACGGCATGAGTAAGCATGTCAAAGTTGCATGTCAGAAATAGCGATTCCAAATATCTTGAGGGTCAAAGCAAAAGAGAATTGAGTGAAATCCATTGATATACCCAAACTCTCAGAAATTAGACTAAAACTGACACTGTAGCATGCCACTTAAGATTATTTTATACGATAAAATTAAAGATCTATTGAATCCAGATGGAACAGGAATTATCCATTTTAATTTTCAAGAAGGACAGTTTTGATGATTTCTTTTTGATTTTTTAAAAAATCCATTACCAACTCACCGCAGGCCATAGTTTGCCAATGCTTGACGTAGTACATGCATGCACGGGAACTTTACTTTACCCACCCAGGTACTGTACTATTTACGGTTTAGAGAAACGTACCCACAGAACAATTTACTTAAGAATACTTGGTCAAATGGGTTTTTTCCTAATAAAAAACCCTAAAAAGGCTTCTCATCAAAGGTATACAACCAACAATAAGTAATATATTATACATATATGTATGTACATTTGCCTTGCTGTCATCTTGAGGGACACAATCTCGGAGGCTGTGAAAGCTGTCTTTGATATGATCTCGACGCTTCCGTTCTAGAGCATTGTGATGTGCTCTTTTGTCATCCTGAAAAATGTAAGGAATTTTCTGTCAGAAAAATGCAACAGTGAAGATTGAAGAAAATAGTTAATCAGGACAAAAATAAACCCACTTTCACACCTGCTTTATCATTGCATGCTTTGGTAACAAAGCTATACACAGTTAGCACAAAGCCTATGTCTCCTTAAACGCGATGCAACGTTAAGTCGCGCGCGACAGTCACTAGTGATGAGTCACGAGAGTGTGTATCCTTATGCGCGACCACATCGCCCCAAAATTTTCATTCTGCGACAAAAGCAACAAAACTGTCTCCTCATGAACAACGCGACATTTAGCCACGTGCAACTGGGTAAGCAGTCACATGACTATCAATTCACAGAAGAGAGACAGTGGCAGATTTTAATGTCAAGATTGACAAGGAAGTACAAAGTCCGTTAGATGGGTGTACTACGAGCCGCTGACATTTTTTATTTCGTACATGGCCAATCCTGTGTAAGTTCTCCTCCTCCTCCTCCTCTTCCTCCTCCTTCTCCTCCTGCTGTCCGTAAAAAAAAATATAAAAAAAAGGTTAGATTCACAAAACTTGCATTGGATTGAATTAAAGATGAACATCCTTCAAACACACACACATACCCACACACACCACATCACACACGGTGTGTCGACTGTCACTCCTTCGTTAGGTATTTTGATCAATGGTGATGATCTAAACCTGTCACACCCCCCGGTCTGTTGCACGCGACAAGACCCTCGATCGATACACGTACCGTTCGCAGGCCACTGGCATGTGCAACATGATGTCCCATCGGGAGTAAGGAGATGGCTTCTAAATAATCTTAAGTGACAGATTTTAGAGCGGCAAGGACCACACGTGACGCGATGTCGCATATAGGGAGACAAACTCTAAGAGTGTCAAGTGACTCAAGTTTTTTTACATTTATCCCAGGTGGGATTACCCACCTAAGATCCTATTATTATCTCAAAGGTATTAAGCCTTGTCCCTGATCTACTGAAACTATGGGATCCAGGCATCTAGCTCCAGCTGAAAAACTTAATTTTCACCTCCTCTTGCTAAGGAGTGTTATGCATGCAAATAGGTAAAAGTGGTATGTGAAGAAGCAAATTCAAATTATAATATATATGTGCCCTTTTCTGGCCGAGAAAGTGAGGAACAAAACAATGATGTCCAATGAAAAGTGATAAATAAAAACAAAAAATTTACACTACAGGTCACAAAGGACTCAAAAGATAAAGCCAAAATTTCAAATAACAAGAAGGCTCTTTGAAATTCCTCTACAAACATAAACTCTCATTTACAGTAACCTTGCTCAGAAAACAAATTTAAATCAATATGAAAGAATGAGGAAAGAGAAACAAAGTAAAGTGAAGTAAGCACTAGCAATTAAAGAGAAAAAGGGAGACAAGAACAGAAGTAGTCAGGCTTTTGTGATTCCAACTGTTCCCCTGAGGGTAACACTAGACCAGAAGAATACAGGAATGACCTTTGAAAAAGCCTTAACCACAGCCACAATAGGATAACAAAAGACTACTTGTCAATTTAACATAGCCAACCTACCGAGCTGAATGTCTGGTTACATTCTTCATCATCCTGCAAATACAGAAAAAGTAATTTTGTTCATCATTCTTTCAAAAGAAACCCGAACGTTAGCTATAAAAAAACAATTAAAAGAAGGTGCCAGTCTACTTGAGTCTACTGCAATAAGGCGCTCTACTTTAAGTTCCACGTGACTGATCATGCTGTATGGTGATCTAATCGGCTACTGAAAGTCTTGCCGGTTTGGCCAAGGTCTACTTTCAATGGGTGCATTTAGATCAAACGTGGTGGCATTTACAGTTGTAGTGTGGATGGGTGGACTGCAAAATTTTGCAGTGCCGGTAATGGTATTGACCAATAAGTCGCCACAGCAAGGGATTAGACGGGACAATGTCAGCGGCTAAGCCCTGGATGCATTTAGAACTAAGAATTTTGCAGTTAGAAGGATTACAATTAACAAGTTAGTCACAACAGTAAGTGACCGAAGGGGACGATGTCGCCATCAAGGGAACAGTCAATGACGACAGTCCAAGCCTATAAAGGCTGACTGAGGAAAAATGTATACTACAACAACCAAAAATTTCATGAGCCTTTTCAGGACAAACACTTCTAATGCAGCCAATGAGTCCCAACTCAGTATAGACTGGTAGACTGTCTAGTTTTAAACACTTGTCAGACTAGCCCCCTTGTCTCCTTTGTGAGATGGCAAAGTGCCTCAAGGCTACACATTACATGCCTCACTCCAATGACCATCCATCTAACCTAAACACTGTGTCAACGACACATGCTCGGCATTATTGTGAGCCTGTAGTCTCTGCCTACTCAGCCACTACAGCTCCCAACACCTACTTTGGGGATTTCGATTTGCTTTTATCTAAAAGCACCTCTCTCACTGCTATACCACAGATGTCTCACACCTCAGTGAAAATCAACCAAAACACTGTGCCACCGACACATGCTAGATAGTATTGTGAGTCTGAAGCCCACTCATCCTTTGGAGCCCCCCCCAAACAAAATTTATGTTTTTAGGGTTTTCGGTTCGCTTTATCGATGCAGCTTTGAACGTTTACTACAAAAACCAATGCTCACAATTTTAAACAGTGAAACTGGAAAGGACTAAATGGAACATGATGTATGTTATAATTTAGCATACTTGCACAATAATACATCTAACACATTTTATCAAGGGGGAGGGGGTGTTGTGTATTCAGAGGAGCATGCCTGAGATTTTTTTTAAATTGGGGCAATTTCAGGGAGGGGGCTCCCCTGGATAAATATTAACTTTTTCACTTTCATCCTCGCACACAAATGCACTCTTTGGGGGTCAAATGACCGTAATTTTCGCTGCAGGTCGCATATATATGCCACGGGCACTAAAAAAACTATCACAAATGAATCTTTTTCAAGAAAATTTCAAACTTAACAGCAAAACATCAAATTGCGGGGAAAAAAGTGGGGCATGCCCCTCGGTAACCCCCCCCCGATATTTTTCAAAAACCCCACATTGGCTTAAAACACAGAAATTATTACTACACAGTTTTAGGCTTAGCTTAAAATAATTCGAATAAATACAATCAAATTTATTAGGAAAACTATTCATTTGCGACTGATATGATGTCAATATATATTCATGTAAAACAGATCAGATAAGAATGAGTGAATAAGAGAAATGGTGTACTTAACTACGTCTTCCTGAGACAGGAGTGAAAGTAAATTGTGAGGCAGCTGGTAACATGCTGAAATCAAGTGCCCGTCAAAATAATGAAATCAAACAAACCATTATTATTCCACCGATTTCGGAAATTTTGTATCAAACTTTGGCTCAACACCATTTACAATATTTACATCCAATGAAAAGTACATTTCTCATTCTGTGTGGATTTAACTGGAAAACGATTACAGGCATGAAAAATGTAAAATTTTTCAGTCTTGACTCTCAAGCAATGAAAGTTACCAGACTTTAAGGGTTATTTTCTTGCTTATTTTACCTAGGAAACAAGGCAATCCCCACCTCTTTAAATTGCAAAATCTTGACTGATAAAGTGTACAGTTGTTCTTACATTTAAGGGAGTGTATACAGACCCGGTAACCGGGAACAAATTCACAAAGTATACAGACACGGTAGGGGAACTCTTTTGTGATTTCTGAAAGTTTCAGCGCCCTCTTGGCTCAGGGTAGACTTAGGTTCTTCTAGAACTATGGCCTAAGTCTCGATCTAGACAGACAGACATAAATCATTGATCTAGTTTCGAGGTTTGCCTAGATCTAGATCTAAATGAAAATTGCGGATGTCTTTTCGATGAACGATCGTTTTTCCTCCGTTTTTGGAGTTGGAGGAATCAGAATTTGAAGAAAAGAACAATGTCAATTTCAATTGAGCAGTATCTCTCTCTCTCTCTCTCTCTTTGTTTGTCTCTGTCTTTCTTTCTCCTCACCTATTTCCCACTCTATCTTTCTCTCGTTCCCTCCTGTTAACTGGGACATTTCATATTATATTTTGCTTGCACTTCCCCCCTCCCTCCCTCCCTCCCTCTCTCTCTCTCTCTCTTTTTCTTTGTTTGTCTCTGTCTTTCTTTCTCCCCACCTATTTCCCACTCTATCTTTCTCTCCTTCCCTCCTGTTAACTGGGACATTTCATATTATATTTTGCTTGCACTTCCCCCTTCTCCTCCCTCCCTCCCTCCCTCCCTCCCTCCCTCCCTCCCTCCCTCCCTCCCTCTCTCTCTCTCTCTCTCTCTCTCTCTCTCTCTCTCTCTCTCTCTCTCTCTCTCTCTCTCTCTCTCTCTCTCTCTCTCTCTCTCTCTCTCACACACACACAAACTAACGGGTCTGGGCGCTGAAACTTTCCGACATCACAAAAGAGTTCCCCTACCGGGTCTGAATATTTTGTGATTTTGTTCCCGGTTACTGGGTCTGTATACACTTCGAACATTTAAAGCCTTTGCCAAAAGGTGGGACACCCGGGTGTGACAAACGAGGTCCAAATTCAACGTAGGCTCGACCCTGTGCGAATAGAATTATTTCTTATTCGCACATCCGGTGTGAATAAGGAAGAGGCTAGCCGTACTTAATGACGGCTAGACTGGCAAAGTACGGCTAGCTGATGGCTAGACTGACCATAAAAAAAAGGGTAGCGATATTTCTACGGCATGCCGTCTGAAAATCGTAGTTGATATTTCCACGGCATGCTGTCTGAACATCGGAAGTGATACCTATACGGTATGCCGTCTTGAGTCTAAAGATCGGAATTGATATTTCGACGGCATAGGCTCTGCTTGAAGTGTATCAAAGCAAGAATTGTGTTTGTTTTTCAGGCGATGAGTCGGGTGATCATACCTACCTGATCCTATCTGCAAATGGGCACCCTACTGTTGAAAAAAAAAAACCCAGTCTTCTCTCCATTTTGCTTGCACAAAATAAATTGTGCATTTCTCTCACTCTCGTTACAATCACACAAAACATTTCATCATTGTCCATAATGCACAAAATGATAGCAAAGGATAAACATTGTTAAGCAAAGAATAAACATAGTTAACTAAACATACAGGTATCTTAAATTGTATCTATAATAATGCGTTACTTATGGAAAAGAGATTATAGGCTTAATTACAAATAGACCGGATGTTCTGATTGGCTGAATTTATGTGCCGTGGAATTATTACTTCCGATTTTTCGACGGCCTGCAGTATAAATATCCACTTCCTAAAAAAAATAGGTCTACTGAATTGTAAATATAAATTTTTAGTTTGCAGTACCTAAAGTATATTTGTATTAGAGACGAAACCAGATGCGTTAATGACAGTGCATGTATTTTAAACCTTCTGTTTTCTAATGTTAATAGGGCCTAAGATAAGTACGGCTAGACTTCTTGGCCAGCCGTACTTAAGTACGGGTAGACAGCCAGGCTAGCCGCACTTAAGGACGGCTAGATTGTCAGGCTAGCCGTACTTAATATTGATGGCTGAATTGTAAATGAAATTTTTAGTTTGCAATGCCTAAAGTATTTGTATTTCAGACAAAACCAAAAGGTGCCTTACTGACTTGCATGTATTTGAACCTGAATAATTACTAGATCTAGATCTAATGAGACCTGTGTACTTAACAGGTTTGAGTCGATAGGGCCAAACCTAGATCTAAGTACGGCTAGACTTCGGTGTGAATAATATTAATTCTTATTCGCACACCCAGTGTAAATAAAATTATGATAGTGTCAATTGCCACCGAGTGACGTGGTGGCAATTGACAAAAATTGACTTTTTTCCTTTTGCGTTGGTGGGTAGATCTAGCTTATTGTGCTCGAGTGCTCGGAGTTGTGCGTTCGCCTGTGTGTGTGTGTGTGTGTGTGTGTGTGTGTGTGTGTGCTTGAGTTTGTGTGCGTTTGTGATAGGGCTGTACCCCGGTAGCAAACCAGCTCGTGCTCGCAAGCCCCTAGTTCAAGTCACAAGCCTCAAATCACTGGGTCAAATCATCAAATCAAATCACCAGCATGATACGTTGAGTCTAACGCAAACTGTAACCTCCTTGTCTAGTCTTAACTTCAAGTCCACAGCAACTAGCAATCCGCGAAGCCACTCGTGTCAAACCCCCTCATCATCCCCACCCTGCTTGCAATCCGCGAAGCCACAGATGTTAGAGAAAGAGAGAGGGGGAGAGTGAGAGATCCCGACCACGGTGTCACTGTGCGGCATGGCGCTGTAGTTTGCTTGATTAATCGAAGGCCTGCGCAAAGCAGCGGACAGTCCGCAAGCCTCAAGTCTCAAATCCCGTCCGCAGCCACAAGCCCAACGATTCACACAGTACTAATTTGCGCTAGGCCAAGTGAATTGTCCCAGGACAAGCTCGAAACCTGATCTGCTGACCTGTGCTGTCTCGATAGCAAGCAAGCGGCATGCCGCAGTACCGCTCAATGTGTTCTAACAGCAGTACCGCTCGTTGTGTGAACTTTGAACCGTGGAGGAAGGGAGAGGCTGGGCTTGTTTTGGTGCAAACGTAGAGAGCTGAAGTTATTTTTAACTTCCCGCCGTTGATCAGCTAAGCGAGTGGACAAGTGAGAGGGAGCATGGTATTTATTGTAGTAACGGAGACCTAGGTTTCTAGTAGTGAATAAGTAGACTTACATTACCCTAGAATGGAAAACTCCAGGGGTCGTTGTGATTCGCTTTTGTATCGTATGTATGTAACCTATTTTGTAGATGTGTTACACTCACAGTGACATAATACAGAACATTTAGGAGACGGGCTAGGCCTACTTCAACCCAATGTCAGGGCCAGCGTGGGCTGAGAGGGAACAACGCCCCAGCAGAAAGACGGAGGTTCTCAGTATAAATTTCTCCCCATACGCGAATCGAACTGAGGTCTTTTGCGTGCGACGATGAAGCGCTTGGCTCGTGCACATTAAAAATAAACAGGCCTTAACATCGTAAGAATAGCCGATCCAATATTAACCCTGGAAGCGCGCACGCCCTATATAAAGGGCGTGAGCCGGGCTACCCAGGAAGCGCGCACGCCCTATATATAGGGCTGACCTACTTCGACCGGGAAGCGCGCTAGCCCTATATAAAGGGCATAGACGCTGACCCTTTTCAATGGAAAATACCAGTGTTCCTTATATGGAAAAATGACGTAGTCAATTACAGGTCAAAGTTATAAATAGTGACCAATGACTTTGCAAGTTATCTTGACCTTGTAGAGCATCTCTTGGCCGAGATATCGATTGATAAAGTGAAGCGGTCCTGCTGAGCGACTACACGCTATATCACTTGTTTTGCCGTGATTATGTATTAATTGTTGAGTCTATCGCGTTCTGGGCTTTGTATTTATTTGATCGCTAATCATTTTTGAATGGCTCATTCTATCAGCTTAAAGAAAATATATGGTTTTATATGCTTTTTATCATCTGTTCAGCCGTAAATGGTCATTTTTCAGAAGCAGGTATACATTTCGGATATCTCAGCTGATATTCTGCCCACCAAACCCCCATATTTACAACTGATCGGCTGTGGCGGCACGGCATTTTGGGCGGGTTACTTCTGGTGAAACGCTGAGCGCTTCTAGGGTTAATTTTTAAGTGCATTGAAAAGAGTTTTTTGTTTTTTGCAACCGATCTATGAAAAAAAAAACGATCTTGCACTTTTGGTGCAAGCCTCTCAACGCAAATAACCAGAGAATCTTCTGTAATATGTACTGAGCCCACAGCCACAAAGGTTTGCGGCGTCACGACACAGAACAGCAGGACTGTCCGCGAGTCACAACTCACCGGAAGTTCCCTCCGATAGCAAGCGGGAGGCAAATCAAATCACAAGCCTGCTCGCAAGCCTCTAGCGCAAGACGTCCGCTGCTTTGCAAGCCATCGATTAACCGAGCAGAATCCAGCCCTAGTTTGTGACCTTCTACTTCTAGAATTGCCTGTGTTGGTCTTATTGAAAACACGCCAAGTTGGTACCGTAGCTCTGGACTAGATGCTCGTCCAATGAAATTAGTTGAGAACAAATTGACCCATTAGACACACATTATTATGTACAATGCTAAAGATAAGTGTTATTTTCAGACTTGACACCGCTTCACTCGGTGACAATTGATACTAGATATCTACCTAAAACTAATTCTTTTATGCGCACACCCGGTGAATAATCACTTCCTTACAGTTACAGTAGTAAGATGATACCAACACCCGCTATGCCTAAAAATTGAGGAGCACCTGATTCCACCATGTCGTGACACAAATAATATTTGTAAGCAATCTATAAAATTTGCTTTGGTTTTAGTTTTAGATCTTAGATCTAGATCTAGATCTAGATCTAGGCCTAGAATCCTAGATATTAGATCTAGATCTAGATTTCTAGTAGCAATTTATGATGAGAATCATGAACGTTGAGATCATTGTCATTGAGAACTGACTGCACACAACTACAACAACAGTACTTAGTACAGTGATCTTGTAGTTCCGTTCGTCAAAGTCAAGATCCATTTGTTTACATCCAGAGAAGAAATCCAGAAGTCTTGGATGACCAAATATACTATTTCAATAGGCTACACACAAAGGAGCAGGGATGCAACCTAACTGCAAAACATCAAATTAGGATAAAATTCAGGGGGGCATATCTTTATATGGTCAGGGGGACCCCCCTACTCTTGACTTTAACTAACGAAACTACAAAATCGCCCTTAGTCTAGTGGCCTTCCTTAGCCTTACTTAGTGATAGTGTACAAGTAGGCCTACAGTCAGACAGTGATGTATCCGTTATTGTTGTGGCAATAGTATAGCATTGAAAGTTAATTTAACAGACTTTACTACAGCGAATCCAAACCCAAAATAGAGTCACGAACATTAGATCTAGATCTAGATTTAGATCTAGAATCTAGATCTATATTGATCATAGTATTAACAGAGTGTTGTGACTGTGAGTGTAAATCATAAGAATCCGACCACCTCATACTGACAGTGTGTGCCAGCGACCTGACCGACTTCAGTAACAAAAAAGAGTCGGTATCTGGGCCTAGAATTGTCGTAATGAGAATAAGAATCAAGATGAAAACTTACAGCATCACTTTCGATGTCTATTTCTCTATCTTCGTCACTCATGGTGTAATAATGTTCGTCAATCCGTCCGGAGTACCTTGAACAAAATTTTGCACTCGTCAGCCACAAACTCAGCAAGTCCTTTCCTCACTGTATCTCTCTCTCTTTAACGGAGATCTGACATGTGTGTCGTTCACGATTCACGTGGTTTCGCATAATGTTTATAAACATTGAAAATTCTAAGGATATTATTTGTTCCAAAAAGCTTAATGCATTTTATTATGATACTTTGAGTTTTACAAGACCATTAAATACAAAAAATAGTAAATTATGACTATGATTTATAATGACAGCACAAAGAGGTTAAGACGGCACAAAGAGGTTATAAATAAAACTACAGATCTCAGCCCATGACGTCACCCACGTAGATCTAGATCTAAAGCAGCGAGCCCGCCAACGTGATTAGAATTAGAAACAGCACTGTCGACTAGGCCTGGGCTGGACTTGGACTTGAGACTTGAAATTCTCGTGCCCACCAAGTACATTGTACATGTAGTGTTTGAGTCCAAGTATTTAGATCTGAGCAAGTCCAAGTCTTGACTAAGCAAAATATCCAAAACGTCACGCTGTGCGTCCCTCGCAGCGCCTAGATCTAGATCTAGATCTATAGGACTAGTGCATGCAGTCAAAAATTCGTGGCGCGTCTTATTGTCAAAATTAATGTCTCCTCATCTATCGAACATAGGTTCTCCAATTTTTGCACAATGACTTGTATCAATTTGCCGTTTAATAACAGATCAATTTTGTAAACACCTGCGAGCTGTATTAAATTCTAGAAAATTCCTAAATACCAATAAAAAATCCAAGTGGATGGTTTCTACAGATTTTTTAATGTTTACAGCTGGAGCAATATTGCTTTTTACAGCAAGTCTGTCATGTTTTTCTAATCGGGGCATTTGGCTTATTGAACGCCTGTTTTGAGAGCCATTTAGTACCAAAAATGTGTTCACCATAAAAAATAATTTATTGTAACAAGTTTTGCAAGCAAAAATTGTCATTGACAAGCTGTGACATAGGCCATATGCGTAATCAAAATGTGCGTGAGAGAGAAGCGGGAAGTGCTGTGAACAATACCATTTTACGCGTGATAGGGATTTGCAAGTATTTTATATAAATTTATTAAGAAAAGTTTTTTAATCTAGCCCTATTGTTCTGGGAAAAAATATGATTTAGTTACAAATTGATACAAACTGCTGTGCAAAGAATGGGTGACGTTGATTCACCCGTTAAAGAGATATTTGAGGATAAGTCGCGCCTCGAATTTTTGACCGGATAGGTCTTCATAGAATAATATTATTAAGCGTTAAGCTCACACAGTGAGCGCTTAGTTCAGTTGTTGTTGTTGTTTTTTTAGTTTGACTTTTTGTTGTTGTTGTTGGGGGGGGGGGGTGTCATAATATTATAACATACATGCATACACAATACCGAACCTACTGATTGTGGGAAACACTAGTAATTGCGCTTTAACAGAGATATACCGGTACATTCATTGTATTACTATCCTGGGTGGGATTGGGAGAGGAGCGCGCGGGGGTAGACAAAGTGGATGATTGATTTAGTTTAAAAAAGGATATTTTCATACTTACAAAATGGATTGTGTTTATAAAATTATGTACGTTGCCTACACTCTCCTCTACTGATTCAGGGAGATGATTGTTTACCCAAGTTTTTTACGTCTTGTTCCCGCACCGTTGTTTAGGGCTGTACCCCGGTAGCAAACCCGCTCGTGCTCACAAGCCCCTAGTTCAAGTCCCAAGCCTCAAATCACTAGGTCAAATCATCAAATCAAATCACCAGCATGATAAGTTGAGTCTAGCCAAGGAGTTTAGAACTAATGGAGCCTACTCTCTCTCTTCGCGGCGCCACGAGCAGTACGCCGCGTTGGGGATCAAAAATGACCACCGAGTGTGGGCTAAATCACGAACTGTCGCGTTTCTTTTTATAGAGTTTTATCGGGCTGGGCCACGTTGTGGGGGTGGGCGGGGTGGGGGAATGCACGCAAGGAAGAGGGGATGGGGCTGGGATGAAAGAGGAGGGGCGGGCCTTGGGAAGGGACGAAGGAGAATGGGGAAAATTAAATAAGAGAGAGAGAAAGAGAGAGAGAGAGAGAGAGAGAGAGAGAGAGAGAGAGACAGACAGACAGACAGACAGACAGACAGACAGACAGGCAGACAGACAGACAGACAGACAGACAGACAGACAGACAGACAGACAGACAGACAGACAGACAGAGAGAGAGGGGGAGAGGGAGAGTGAGAGACTGACAGACAGACAGACAGACAGACAGAGAGAGAGAGAGAGAGAGAGAGAGAGAGAGAGAGAGAGAGAGAGAGAGAGAGAGAGAGAGAGAGATTGTGATCAACTGACGGGCTGACGGATAATGACAGGGAGAAAAAATTATGTGTGTGATACGGACTGTTCAATTCTTTAAGAGTTTTATGTTATAATCTAGTTTAAAAATCAAAAAGATGTGTAAAATAAGAAGAAAACTTGTCCGAGTAACATAAAATTATCAAACATACCAAATTAAAAAGATAATCTTTCAAGATGCTAAAATATATAATTATAAGAAATGGATGAAAATATACTTTTAAACTGAATTTAAGATATATGATTGCATGATTCTAGGCGTGTGCCATAACTAACTTTATGTGTAAGGAATAGCGGACACAAAAGAGGGTCGATGTTTGCTTTATCTAATTGCTAACAGTATGTCTTGGTCTATAAATAATATTATTGATCACAATAATTTTGTTTCCTGGTTTTCACAAAGTGGAGCGCACAATGATTTCAAATATTCCAACAACAAAAAAAAGAGATAACAGCACCTTTGGAGGTGTGATCGCATGCATGAGCGTGGATAACCTTTGAAGGGTTTTTTTTGTTTCCAGTAAAGTATGATATGGAGAGCAGCGTTTTTAGTCCCTTATTACACTCCAGATGGGGATAATTTATCTTAGTGATGACTCTTGTGTAGTAAAATTTGTTGTTGCTTTGTTTGGTTTATTTTTTTACTGCAGAATCTTAAGTGAACCGGAATGATTGATTGTGGGATCTTAGGTGAAGACTACAACAATAGAATTAAACCGAGTATAGTTCTATCTAACAAGACTCAAACTCTTATCCACCCCACCCTACCTTTTCTCCTCATCTGATATGGTTTGGTGTTTCTTTAACTTTAACATAGAAAATATTCATCATTATTGTTGTTGAATATTGATTTCATGTTCTAATGGAGCCTCTAGATATCTACATTTAGACTACAGTAGCATCTAATTTGCACACACAAAGGAAAGCAATATCTTTAATTAAAATGTATAATATGTATATATACATACACACACATAATAATTATATATATACTCATAATAATTATATATATTTATGAATAAGAATACTTTTAAAAAAATGAGTATCCCAGTCTTTCTGCTGGGGTGTTGTATCCCTTTCAGCCTGGGTTGGCCTTGGCATGTAGCGCCGGGGCCAGTCTCTTATGAATTAATGATTTAAATTGTGTTGCTGGGGGCATAGAAACACTTTCATTCAAATTCTTAAAAAGGGAAACAACTTAACTGTGAAAACTTCGGTCCACTGCAGCATCATATCGGTTCTTACACTTAAATACAACACAGGTGCAAGGAATTTTTACTAATTGACTTGCCTAATCTCAAGGACCTCGGAATAAAACCTTCTTTCTTATCTAGATTTCAGTGCCTTAATCGGGCAATCGCGCAGCGCAGGTAGCCCACGGTTCCGCCGCGAGAGAGGGCTCCTATCAGGCGTGCGGTGCGGCCACAGAGCATCCTCCATTACTTTTAATCTCCTTGAGTCTAGCGCAAACTGTAACCACCTTGGTCTAGTCTAAACTTCAAGTCCACAGCAACTAGCAATCCGCGAAGCCACTCGTGTCAGGCCCCCTCATCATCCCCACCCTGCTCGCAATCCGCGAAGCCACTTACGTCAGAAAAAGAGAGAGGGGGAGAGTGAGAGTCATTGCGCGGCGTGGCGCTGTAGTTTACTCGATTAATCGAAGGCCTGCGCAAGCCTCAAGTCCCGTCCGCTGCCACAGGCCCCACAATTCACACAGTACTGATTTGCACAAGGCTTAGAGATTTGCCCCAGGACAAGCTCCAAACCTGACCTGCTGACTTGTACTGTCTCGATACACCGAGCGAGCGGCACGGGCTCGATGGCGTAGGACCGTCTTGATGGCGACAAGACAGTCCGATGTGTTCAAACAGCAAGACAGTACTGTTCGCTGTGTGAACTTTGAACCGTGGAGGAAGGGAGAGGCTGGGCTTGTTTTGGTGCAAGGCGTAGAGAGCTGAAGTTATTTTTAACTTCCCGCCGTTGATCAGCTAAGCGAATGGATAAGTGAGAGGGAGCGTGGTATTGTAATAACAGAGACCTAGGTTTCTGGTAGTAATAAGAATAAGTTGACTTAGATTAGGCTACCCTAAAATGGAAAACTCCAGGGGTCGTTGTGATTCGCTTTTGTATCGTATGTATGTAACCTATTTTGTAGATGTGTTACACTCACAGTGACATAATACAGAACATTTAGGAGACGGGCTAGGCCTACTTCAACCCAATGTCAGGGCCAACCTGGGCTGAGAGGGAACAACGCCCCAGCAGAAAGACGGAGGTTCTCAGTAAAAATTTCTCCCCATACGGGAACCGAACTGAGGTCTTTTGCGTGCGACGATGAAGCGCTTGGCTCGTGCACATTAAAAATAAACAGGCCTTAACATCATAAGAATAGCCGATCCAATATTAATTTTTAAGTGCATTGAATAGAGCTTTTTGTTTTTTACAACCGAACTATGAAAAAACAACAACCGATCTTGCACTTTTGGTGCAAGCCTCTCCACACAAATAACCAGAGAATCTATAATATGTACTGAGCCCACTGCCACGAGAGTTCGCGACGTCACGACACAGTACAGCAGGACTGTCCGCGAGTCACAACTCACCGGAAGTTCCCTCCGGTAGCAAGCGGGAGGCAAATCAAACCACAAGCCTGCTCGCAAGACTCTAGCGCAAGACTTCCGCTGCTTTACAAGCCTTCGATTAACCGAGCAGAATCCAGCCCTACCGTTGTTAATGTGTCT